AGAGCTCACAATAGCGTCGTAGTAGTGTTCCACCATATCACCGCTACAATCCTTTAGACTCGGCATGGTGTTCCCCAGCATTTTGTCAACCTCTGATGAATACATGTTCAGTTGTGTAGCATCAGCCTTTTTCCATTTGAAAGGTTTTGGATTCCACACTTTTTGTCCTGTTAGGAACATGTCGCCTATGAGTTTCGTCACAACGGGAGAGTGGTCAGATATGTCGTATGTAGCATCATTATGTATAGTTGTCACTAACACTGATGATTTCAGGGACACTGGTAAAAAGATATAGTCAATGATGACTGTGTTCCAGTTTTATTGTGCCATGTCTTCATATTTCCTTTAGTATCACCACAGTCGACTGACGACAGCATATTCCTTGAGTCTAGGTAAGTCTGAAGAATAACAGACCTACTGGATCCTGCATTGTGGACGAGGTCTGTGTTGAAGTCCCCGCATAATATAACATAGCCACTTTCTGATAGCTCGTCTACAACATCAAACACCTCCTTGACACTCTCTTCAAACTCTGCTATGCTGTGATTAGTGGAGGGAAGCAGAGCACAGACTATATACATGTCACCACACTGGGGGCGAGACAGTCGCAGGTACAACACTATCATACTCGCATTCACATTCATAAACCTCTCTGTACATATTTTTCTTAACTAGTAGTGCCACCCCACCTTCTCCTTTATATCCTTTCTGATCTGCTTTAACTTTACATGTAATATCAAACGTGTCATGCAGACAATCAAACCAGCACTGAGTTCTGTCATTAAGCCAATGCTCACACACAGCAAGGGCATCGCAGTGATTTGCTAATGTCTCTAGGTACTGCCCACAGTACATTACACCTCTTGCATTCCATGTTCCTATGCACAGCATGTAAACGGAAAGTAGATACACTAGCATACACATTTTAACTAGAATGATGCACCATTACGACCTCTAGAGTATGAAACCCATTCTCTGCATCTAACATTTGGAGGCCAGAAGTTCTCATCCTGAAGCACTCGCTCAGCTGCTTTAGTGTCTATGTTCAAACGCACAGTATAGGTAGGATTCGAGCCCTCCCAGCGTTTTACGAGGGAGATATTCACTTCTCTTTTCCTGCCATATGCAACAATGGCATCATGTATAATCTCAAATGACTTATCAGCTCTAACGTTCGACAATACAAGTCTTTTCCTCTTATACCTGGGTGAAGCCCCTTTGAAAGATCTGTCCCATTCATTGTCGAAGCTCACTATCGGTTGTGCTGTCTTCTGGCGGCCGGTGTTGGTCGATGATGTTGCTCCTGTGCTGCTGTCAGTCTTCGTTGACGGGACGTCGGTGTTACCTCTGTGTGAAGGTTGATCCTCTGTCACACCTTCGCTGGGTGTTACAGCGTCAGGAGTATCACTCTCTGTTGTTGGCTCCAAGGACGGCTCAGGATGGATGTCTTGGCTCAGTAAGTATCCTGATTGACGAGGTGAGTGAGATTCACTGCGGGGAGAGTCGAGGTACTGCTGTCTTGACCGTTTGTTAACACATTCCATGTTAGTGGCAATATCACTAGTCTTCTTTGAGATAATGTCGACACTGGTCTTCAATTCGTCTTTCAACAGATTTATTTGGGAGTGTTTATCTCGTAGTTGAAATACAAGAACTCTGATATCACTTTGTAACTTCAATTCCGTGTTCTGGTGACGTTCTATTTCTTTCATTGCACAGGCAAGTTCAGTACTTTTAGTTTCTAAGCTGCGTGAAACCCTCTTCATATCAGCGTCGTACTTGTCACGTAGAGCTTCTATTTTCCTACTGAGAGTTACAAATTGTTCATTCAAACAGTCCTGAATCTCCATCACCTTGGCCAGTAGCAGAGTTAAGGTATCCCTGTTTCTTTGTGTCGTTCTCTCCAGTGTATCTGGATCACACTGTGTTGTATCACTGTTGGTGACCTTCTGCTTACTCAGCACCTCTCGCTGAATCACCTCTGCCGGTACATTCCCTGTTATGTAACCATATAGATGATATATATCACCAGCATATTTCTCAATAACAGTTTTCTTTGAGGTTCCTCTATGCACTCTCTTTATAAAGTATCAAATAGGTACGTCTTCACATCTTTCTTTGGCAACGTCATACAGACTTTGTCTCACACAGTTGATTTTCTCTTCATCATCTTCATAAATGTCTAAAAGTTCATTTTCAAAAGACACCCGGTCGAGTTGGCCCAGTTTAGGATGCACTTCATTGAATATGTCATTGTCTATATCCTCCACCTGTTGTGTAAAGTACCTGTCCCGTTCATTATCTACCAATCAGCCGCGCTCCACACACACAATAGCAGGTACACTGTGACCTATATACGTGTCACGTGTGAACCTCATTATGACCTATGTAAGCGCCTTGTGTGAACCTCATTATTACCTATATACGTGCCACATGTGAACCTCACTATGAAATATATACGTGCTACGTGTAAACCTCGCTATGACCTATGTACGTGCCACGTGGGAACCTCACTATGAAATATATACGTGCCACGTGTGAACCTCACTATGACCTATGTAAGCGCCACGTGTGAACCTCATTATTACCTATGTACGCACCATGTGTGACCCTCAATATGACCTATGTATGTGCTACGTGTGAACCTCATTGCGACCTATGTACGTGCCACGTGTGAACCTCACTATGAAATATATACGTGCTACGTGTGAATCTCATTATGACCTATGTACGATCGTCATGTGAACCTCACTATGACCTATGTACGATCGTCATGTGAACCTCACTATGACCTATGTACGATCGTCATGTGAACCTTATTATGACCTATATACGATCGTCATTTGAACCTTATTATGACCTATATGCGATCGTCATTTGAACCTTATTATTATTTATGTACGCACCTCATGTGAACCTCACTATGACCTATGTACGCACCTCATGTGAACCTCACTATGACCTATGTACGCACCTCATGTGAACCTCACTATGACCTATGTACGATCGTCATTTGAACCTTATTATGACCAATATACGATCGTCATTTGAACCTTATTATTATTTATGTACGCACCTCATGTGAACCTCATTATGACCAATGTACGCGCCACGTGTGAATCTCATTATGACCTATGTACGATCGTCATGTGAACCTCACTATGACCTATGTACGCACCTCATGTGAACCTCACTATGACCTATGTACGCACCTCATGTGAACCTGATTATGACCTATGTACGCACCTCATGTGAACCTCATTATGACCTATGTACGCACCTCATGTGAACCTCATTATGACCTATGTAGGCACCTCATGTGAACCTCACTATGACCTATGTACGCACCTCATGTGAACCTCACTATGACCTATGTACGCACCTTATGTGAACCTCACTATGACCTTTGTACGCACCTCATGTGAACCTCACTATGACCTATGTAGGCACCTCATGTGAACCTCACTATGACCTATGTACGCACCTCATGTGAACCTCACTATGACCTATGTACGCACCTCATGTGAACCTCACTATGACCTATGTACGCACCTCATGTGAACCTCACTATGACCTATGTACGCACCTCATGTGAACCTCACTATGACCTATGTACGCACCTCATGTGAACCTCACTATGACCTGTAACACACCTCATGTGAACCTCACTATGACCTATGTACGCACCTCATGTGAACCTCACTATGACCTATGTACGCACCTCATGTGAACCTCACTATGACCTATGTAGGCACCTCATGTGAACCTCACTATGACCTATGTAGGCACCTCATGTGAACCTCACTATGACCTATGTACGCACCTCATGTGAACCTCACTATGACCTATGTACGCACCTCATGTGAACCTCACTATGACCTATGTACGCACCTCATGTGAACCTCACTATGACCTTTGTACGCACCTCATGTGAACCTCACTATGACCTATGTAGGCACCTCATGTGAACGTCACTATGACCTATGTACGCACCTCATGTGAACCTCACTATGACCTATGTACGCACCTCATGTGAACCTCACTATGACCTATGTACATACATGTATTTAGCCACAGTTGAAACTTGGTAACTTGGTTCCCAGTTGTTTTATATAAGAAGAGGAACGAATCCTGTTTGACTCACAGCACATACATTTTCGTAACACAGGTGAACGGTGTATTTTGGGACTTAGGCCTGAAGAAAAGAAATTTCCCGATTCTCTCACTAAACGCAGAGTATCCTAAACTTTAGCACATAACGTGAAACACTATTTGGCTCTGTGTAGTGCTCCTTTCTTTACATGGTTGTACAACTCCATGTGCTGTCATCAACATGGTGATGTCAGCATCAAATAAGTGTACAGCCCTAACTCGGCACAGCTGGGGTCAGGGGAGTGGGGAGGAGTCATTTTCACTCCTGCCTGAAATATGAAACCCTGAATGAAACTTTTAGCCAACTCACAGGCTTGGAAACGCACCTCCTCTGGCCTTCTGACTGACACAGCGCGAAATTCAAATCTGGATATTTAAAAGAGGAATATATTTTCAAAATGTGTTTTTTGTAGGTTGTCTTCATCCATACATTTTACAGTGAGCCTTCATAACATACTTCTTTACACTATGGCTCAATTTCATCATGAACAGGTAAGTCAATTTTGTGATATTTCATGGAATGTACTTGAATACTGCATTGCTTTGCATCGTAAGACAGCTTTGACAAGGCAAGGAGGCCACACGCCATCTGTGTATAGGTTTGAACCCCGGCCTTTGACCCTGAAAAGCTGCAGGCCCTAAAGACCTAACCTTAAAAATATGTGGGCCCTGATCAGAATGCGTAGGCCCTGTATATAAATATGATCCGAATAGTTAATAATAATAAGTATAAGTTAGTAATAAGGACCGACGTTAATTTCGAACGCTGTCTACAAAACTGTGACAATCAATATCCAACGCGCATACAAAGTCAATCTGTTCCGATTTCAGAATAACCCGTCACGTGATATGCAAATTAGCCCGGGGCAGAGATTGCCATGGTCGTGTGTACGTAGCGGTCATGAACATAAACACCCTAGAGATTGATTTGATATTGCATCAATTTAGAGGTCTTAGGAAAGTACTTATCTGTGTTTAGCCCGTTCATGCTCACGCAGGACTGACAGACAGTCTGAACTCGTTCCATCACAAACAAGGAAGTGGGATCACTGCGGTATTTCAAGTAGGTCGGGTATGTTCTTGTTTACGCTTGTTGTACTGCAGCCATCGACACAAAGGCCCTTTACGTTCCGTGTTAAATGCGTGTAGGTATTCGCTTCAGACAAATACATAGCTTCACATACTGCATTGCGAGGTATTGGAAATATCGGTAAACTTGAAATATATCCGGTCGCCAAGGGTGACAACATACCCGTATTGAAACCTAAGCTGGGCCCCGTCTCGCATATCGCAATATGGCGCAAGTTCGCGGAGTCGGGAACCAGCTACATTCAAGCCAAGTTAGAATTGCTAGTTGAAACCATGAACACAAGTATATCCATAATAGCTAGTTACTGAACGTTGTGAGGACTTCTGTCGTTCTGAAATGTAAATGTCAAAATATTGAATATTGTTAACTATTCACATGTCATTTTTAATTTGTCGGGTGTTTGGCTGTGTTAAAGGGGCACTGATCTAGAGCAATTCCCCAGGACTGGTTGTCGCTTTTGTTATTGTTTTTCCCCTCCGACGATCCGAATGATATCCCAGAATTCTTGATTGGATTGCGATGTCTGCTGCGCCATCCGCAAGCGCAATTGGTAGTATAAGCATAATATATATCCTTACATTGATCAACAAACATAAAGTACAGTTTCGTTTTGGAATCAGTATGAAAACGTAGTCATCTTTCTTATGTAAGCTTTTTCTGTGTAAAATCTGTATAAACCTATTGATCTAAGTAAATTTTCAGATTTTTCTAGCAATGACAAAGTTGGGTTGATTTAATTTACGGATTCAATTAAATCAAATGTGTGTTTTTGGTATCATAGGTCAACAGACATCCCATTGTTACATGACATGATTAAATATCGAGGTAAGAACACAGCATCAGGATCAAATTGGGTCAGTCATCATACCATCCACGCATCAGAACATGAGAAAAAGCTTACACTGCTGGGATACTTCATTACAAGCAGACCAGAAGTGCCAGTGATATTTTCGAATAACGGCATCTGATGGGCATCCACCGTTCTTAATGTCCCAATGTTTAAGTTGAAGGAATTCTGCCAAGGTGGACAGCTGCCCAGTTCCGGTGTGCACCACGGTTAATACTTCCAACAGTACGTAAATAGGGCTATCTTACACAATCTAAACCCAAGGTTGCAGGTCGAGACTTCAGTGGCAATCATCCAAGTCAAAACATTGATTACACAACAGTCTCGTCGCCTGCTGGCTGGGTTCCGTCCTATTGCGCAACTTAGTACAATAACCAGTCCAGATTTTTTTAAACTACAAAATTCAAATTAATACCATTTTCTTAGGAAACAAGGAATTGGACTTTAGTGTAACCATAGTTGTTTGTAGTGTCTCTTTTCACTTTCACACGAGAAAATTCGGATCGGCTGAAAAGTAGGTCATTGTCTGAATTGGTTAATGAGACTCATGTTTCGGTTTAGAGCTGGGACTGGCGACCTGGCAGCGAGGCGACGTGCGTAGACTGTTGGCGCGAAACATTACTCGCTCTGAATCAGTGCCCCTTTAAGTTATAATTATACATTGTACAAAAATGTAAAATCGAAACCGAACCTTCAAACCGAGCTTCCATGAGTGAATGAGCGAGTATGGTTTTAAGCCGAATTTAGCAATATTCAACCATTATTACGGTGGTGGACACCAGAAATGTTCCAAATTAAACATGCCATTAAACACCTTATACCGCGCAGTGCGTTTCAATATGTGAGCATTTCTGGTGATATTGCTGGAATATTGCTAAAAGCGGCGTAAAACCAAACTCACTCACTCAATATGTGAGTATCAACATACAGAGGATCACCGTAACTGCCACGATGTTTTGTGACGGCACAAAGCACGCATATTTTATTGGCGCTTCATAATAGAAAATTCAAAACATACTCATCTGGTTTGTTATTTCTGAGTCTTCAACTGCGATGTGGTATGAATATTAAATCTTATGTATGGATTAGTCTTCGATGAAAAACTCACAGACTGTGTATTTGATAATTAATACAATACACGTTGTGCACCACAATAAAAAGAGCAGTGTCATTGTTCTGTGCATTAATGCACCACAATCCCACTCATTCTGTCATTAGGTGTTGTTTAGTTTATGAAAACATAACCACAAAAGAACTCGATTGTTTAGCCAATGAAATGTGACGAAATCACGAGCAATGACTTCATATAGAAAAAAGGCCAACTTAGTAAAAGCTGATACGAAATATTGCCCTCTAGATACGTCAAAACAGGTAAACTAAACTAAAGTTAGTTCCTGAGCATTTAATGATGACGCAAAACGAACTGTATTTAACAAACCTATGTTTCAGATGAAATGGCACATTCAGGTGTGGCTCAAGAAGACTTACAGTGCCCTATATGTATGGAGTTCTTTGATGAGCCCAAGCTGCTGCCGTGTGGACACAGAATTTGTTCAGCATGCCTCAACAAGTACGTGCAGTCTTTAAATATGCAAGGCTGTACATGTCCATTATGTAAGAAGCCTTTCACGGGAAATCAAGAACTGCCAATTGATCACATCCTCCAGGATCTGATCAAGGGCAGAAAAAGCCTTTCGTACGACAAGTGCCAGGTCCATGGCTTGCACCAAAGTCGCTACTGCTGTACCTGCACTATGCCTGCATGCGCTGAGTGTGTCATCGAAACCCACCGACATTGTAAACAGGTGCTTCCTATGGAACGTGCTCTAAGGTCAATGGAAGCACACATGCGAAGAGTCTCAAAAGAACTGGATAAAATCATCGTGGATATAAAATCATCGGAAAATATGGCTTCCTCCAAGATGAAAGACTTATTGCAGGAGAATGCTGAGGCAGTGGAACAACTGGAAAAGGTCAAGGTCGATTTCATGGCCCATATAACAAATATGCAGGCCTCCCTAAATCAGGCAAATCAGTGCAATGTCACACAGCTCCAGGAATATATAGGAAGGGCTAAGATCCTCGTGTCAAAGGCCGAGGAAATGAACAGTGATTTGAAGGCAAGTTTGAAGAGCGGATCAATAGTAACACTTGAAGGAAAGCAGGGGTTCCTGCGCACAAAACACCAACGCTTGAAGGAGAAGTTGAAGCTTAAAAGGCAGGTGACAGAGATGCCATCAGTAGAAATGGGACATATTACTTTCAGGAATGAGAACTTCCAGACTGTCAAATCAAATACTTGTCTTACATACAGTATATTCATAGTGAAATTATTCATAATCTTAATATATTTATTAGTGTTTGCAATGATAGTGCTTATCTCCTACGAACGTTTTACTCGCTGCCGTGTGTTTTATCTTCGTCCAAAATGGAACATAAGTGATCTTTGCCGTTTCATATATTCTGCATAGAAAATATTTCGTCAGATGAGAGACACAGAACTGACGAGTGAACTACTTCTATCTACAGCTCTTTAGAAATCTGAAAAAGGCAATTTTTAATGGTTCTCACGTGAAAGTTGGCAGATTGACATATCTTGGTTATATGATGTTTTATGCTGAGCTGCTGGTCTAAAGTCACTCCAAGATTTCTCACCTTGGCAGAGGCTGTGATAGGATACCCTGCAACATCGAGTTGGTGAATTGCGTTGCAGAGTGAGATGTTATTCTTAGAGCGAGTATGGTTAGTTCAGTCTTCTCCTCGTTCAGCTTGAGTAGCAGTGGTGTCATCCAAGATTTTATGTCTGTACAGCACTTTTCAAAGGATGCTCTTTTCACTAAAGATCCTGAAGTTGGAAAACCAGAATATAACTGGTTGTCGCCTGCATACTGATGCTGACCGAGATCATGATAGTCTGCGATAGAATTGAGGGAGTTGAAGGAGTAGTGGGCCCAGTACTGAGCCTTGGTGAACACATCTTTTAAGCCTGGACTCTGGAGACTCGATTGATATCAACGCACTGGGATCTGTCAGAGAGATAGGACATGAACCAATCCAGGACACTGGAGTTTAAGCCAAACTGTGAGAGGAGACATGTGGTGAGAATACTGTGGTCGCCGCCGGTATCGAATGCTGCAGACAGATCCAGTAATACCAGAGCTGTAACATTGCCTGTCCAAGGATTTAAGTTCGTCATCAGTAACTTTGATAAGCAGTTTCGGTACTATGAACCGTTCTGTACGCTGATTGATGTTTCTCATAAAGGTCATTGTTGACGAGATACTCTTTAAGGCGGGTGGCAACTGCCATCTCTATTACCTTCGATAGGAATGCCAGGTTAGACATTGGCCTATAGGTCTATTGTTCTTGTGCATGCCACCTTTCTTTAGCAACGGTGTGATAATGGCTCTCTTATTCCATTAAAATGCAAAGCTTCTCTAATATCTAATGACATTTTCATGCACTTTTTAAGTAACATGCATCTGGCAAAATATCCACTGTTTGTATGCTTCTGTGTTCTGAAGTATTCAGTTTCGTTATAGTCGTGATATGGATTAAGTTTCAACTAGCATGTATACAATTGTCACTGTAACATTTCATGTTCCAAAAGTGTCACGAGGTTTTCCACCCTTGTTGGTGCGCATGTTTTCTGCGCAGCTACGTATGTGCTCCCGCCATCGTTCTGATACATCTTACATGTAAATGTACATTTGTGCAGTATACTACATTCGTGTAGTATAGGTCACTCTTTCTATACATATATCATAATTTACTGTACATAGTCCTGTAACGAAGCTTTTGCCTATGTTGTACGGCAAACGAGCACAAATTATGTCAGCGGCCAGGTTTAGTTAGGAGGGAGTTGTTTTCTCTGGCCGGGCCTTGAATTTTCATAAAGACGGAATGAGTTGGAATCAGGACATCCAGTGACTGCGAGGCCGAAGTGCTACTGTTTGTCTCCTGATGATTACCGCTGAAGTCTCGACCTGGAACCTTGGGTTCAGTATGTGAAAGATAGTCCTGTTTATGTACTGTTGGAGTTACAGTTATGTACTGTTGGGGTACAGTTTGTCTTTAATCTTAGATAAGCGCCTGTGTTTTTCTTTGTAAAGTGCAGGGGCGTAGGAACGGTTTTTCAGAGCAGGGGGCTAATTTATGAAAGTTTTGAAAATCAAAATGAAATTGTAGTTATGGTAAAGGTAGAAATGGTTTCGTCTTGAAAAAGGGGCCTAAGCCTCCCCGAAGCCCCCCCGTTCCTACGCCCCAGACGTGGGCTCATTTATTAGCGTTGTAGGAACTGTTGTTCCTTGATTAATTAACTATTGGGGTGTGATAATTAATTGAGTTAGCCACACCACTTTGACTTTGCATTATAGTTCTATTGTACATATATTAACTTCCGGGTATTAACTTCCGTAGATTTGTGATAGGGACATGTATACGTAGCCTTATGGCGTGATATCTTAGTTGAACTTCCGAAATCAGATTCATCCTTTTTCGCTATAACGCAAAATGTAACAGTTTGAAGCTTAGTCCTTTAAATTTAAAATAAATACTGACAAATAAAAAACCTCTTTGATATATACATTGGATTAAGATTATCACCTGTGACGAAAACCGATATATAAGCATTACATATAGGGCTCTAGTCGACAACGCTTGGCAGAATCCAACATATACGACATGGGTTACTCTCATTAGAGATTTGTTGTTTCATTATGGATATGGTTTTATTTGGTTACAACAGAAATTGACTCTAAATCGTACAGGATTTATAAGTGCTTTTAGACAAAGAGTTATTGATATACATTCACAATGTGGAAAAATAATTCAAGTTCACTTAGTGAAACAAGAATATACTTGCTTATCAAATCATCACTTACCATGGAAAAGTATTTATCTCAAATTGATATCATAAACTATAGGGTAGCCTTGACACGCCTACGATTATCTTCTCATTCACTTATGATTGAGAACAGAAGATGGGCTCGACCAAAGCTAGCTTTAGAAAACCGATTATGTCCTTTTTGCAAAAATGATATAGAGGATGAATATGTTTTCATGGCTTGTCCTAAGTATTTGACATTTAGACGTCGCTATTTAGCTCTGGACGTATACAAGTCTCCAAACATGATGAAGTTTATAAATCTTTTACAACCTAAAGTTGAAGTATTAACCTTCAACTTAGCCAAATTGTTTATCTAATATATCAGATAAAACAAAACTATACTCTGAATTATCCATGAATGTCGACATAAAAAAAACTCCAGACATTAAAACAATGTAACCAGCTATATATGTATATATACATGTACACGAATATTTAGAGAGCAAAACATACAATCAGAGTAGAGAATGGAATTCGGACCAGCTGTCTTCTGCTCCTGCCATGGCTAAGAGACGCAACTCTGCACAGATCAGGTCAATACCGGAATGGCAAAACACTTGTCACGAATAACATTAATACAGGATAAGCAAGCATTCCTAACACATCAGGTGAAGTTTAGTTCGTAACGCTGGTCGGTTGCCCGTTTTCAGCAGCTTGAGCCTGGGGTTTCCATAAATGTAACACACATGATGTACCCCTTGGGCGAGTGTCTTTGTTCGGAGGGGCGGTGGCGTAGGCTAATGCTTAATGCGTTCCCGTTCATATGCATCAATATGTGAAGCCCATTTCTGGTGTCCACCGCCGTGATATTGCAGGACTAATGCTAAGTTGTTCACTGGTCACGAGGGAACATACATAAACCCATGGGCCCAGTGAACAACGTATTTATCTTACCAAACACCCCAATGTTAATTTTAAACACTTTGAAGCACGGGTATCGGATTATAAAAAGGAGCACACTCCGGCACAGCGATGACTTAACATAACATCACTGCCACAGGCTAATTTGCATATCACGTGACCGGACTTTTCTCTTGTTTGTAATCAAACGCGCATATTCATAATAAGAAGAGACTGGTCTTACGAAAGCTTTTCGGCGCTCTCTTCATAGTGTTTTACATTGTTACATATATATTCTTCCACAACTCCGACAGTTAGGTCTATGACAGTACATATTTAGATATCAAACTGGCTGCATCGTTTGCTCTCCGTCGGCTTCGATGACAGCACGTGAAGCCGTACAACCTATGTAAACAAAGGATCGCTACGCAAATCGAAATAGTGTTACATGTTTTTGGATATTTTCTCAGTGAAACTAATTCATTCTATTAAAGATGTTTAGTTAGATGTGTAAACTCGTCAAAAATAAAAGAGTAAAAGAAATCTGTACATTATATTAAATGGACGGTGCAAGATGTGACGAATCGTCACATTTTTCTGGCCTGTGGCAGAGGTACTATGCTAGCTTGCCGCATGGAACTCTGGGTAGGAGAGTGAAAAAGGAGTGCCAGAGTTGGGCAATTGGCCAATACCGACAACGACGGACGACAAAGAAAAACACATTTAGAGTTATCTCCCTTCCACAGATTTGCATTCGCAAAGAAACATCGGTAATTTCCGTTCATCATACGTGACTCAATATTATTCGAGATAAAGAAACACTAACACGAAGTACCAAATGAATTCCCACAGTTCGGCAATCTCGGTCGTTAACACAGAAAATGTTCCTCGCTTGTAGGCAGGGTACACTGAAAATAATAGAAGAGCACTCAACCAATCAGAAAACGACACTTATGCGTGAGGATAAGATAAATATAGTAGGACCGGACATCAATGCTTCAGAAACAATCAGTTTCTTCTGTGCTGAATTGTCAAAGGCGTGAATTAGTACCAGCCTCAATATGTTTCGTTCACAGGCACGTACAAAGGTTTCCTTTACTAAATCAACGTGATTTTAGTTTGGTAAGCAAACCCAATTTGCTGCAAAAGGTTAATGGCCGAACGGTTTTACGCATCGTAATCATATCTCCATCAAGGACTTTGTCAAGAAGCGTTCTCATTAGTTCGTATGCTACGTCACCATTTTCTGCGTACATTGCCGAGAATTCCCAGCCATTGTTAGCTCGTTGAAGAACTGCGTATCCCATGACGTCACCAGAAACGTTGTCCAGCGCCACAAAGACAGAGGACGCGTCACCTATGATAACCTTTCGGAAATATGATTTTTCTTGTTAGGATGTATATTTCCATAATAGCGTTCAACACATGGCAATGATGCCGCATTTACAGGCGCTATAGAGAAGGTGCTATTCATCACAGGGGCTAACGTCATACGGTGTTTCTGAAGCTCCCAGAGCTGCATTTACAGGCGCTATAGAGAAGGTGCTATTCATCACTGGGGCTTACGTCATACCGTGTTTCTGAAGTGTCCAGAGCTGCATTTACAGGCGCTATAGAGAAGGTGCTATTCATCACAGGGGCTAACGTCATACGGTGTTTCTGAAGTGTCCAGAGCTGCATTTACAGGCGCTATAGAGAAGGTGCTATTCATCACAGGGGCTAACGTCATACGGTGTTTCTGAAGTGTCAGAGCTGCATTTACAGGCGCTATAGAAGGTGCTATTCATCACAGGGGGCTAACGTCATACGGTGTTTCTGAAGCTCCCAGAGCTGCATTTACAGGCGCTATAGAGAAGGTGCTATTCATCACTGGGGCTTACGTCATACCGTGTTTCTGAAGTGTCCAGAGCTGCATTTACAGGCGCTATAGAGAAGGTGCTATTCATCACAGGGGCTAACGTCATACGGTGTTTCTGAAGTGTCCAGAGCTGCATTTACAGGCGCTATAGAGAAGGTGCTATTCATCACTGGGGCTAACGTCATTCGGTGTTTCTGAACACGTGTATGTCAACAATGTTGTAAATATGGTCATATGACCTAGAGAGTCGGCAAATAACCTCGTGGTTGATGTACACGTCAGCACCAATGTTGCGACATGACAACCCTGAGACATGCCATCGTGTTTTTTCTGATCGTCTACGTCTTGCCATGTCAAAAATATTAAAACAACAATAAGCCTTGGGCTTAAATATTTTCTTCTAATGTAAAAACGGTTAACATACAATAATAAACTGTCCCGGGTTTCACATTCACATTATAAATATACACAGGTAAAAGGTTAAAACACTATAAGGTATATAAAATATCCTTACGTTAATTTAAAATGGCTTTGCAGGTTTTGGCAGTTACATGTACAACATTTGGGCTGGCCAGGATAAAACTTATCTTAACATCATCATTTTGTACACTGAAATCAGGCCTCTTGTCATTACATTTGGTTAAACCTCTTTACGGACATCATTATAAACTGGACTTGGAAGTAAAACATGCATCCCATCTTCCATACAGTCGGTACAATTAAAACACACTCTCTCGTTGACGGGAAGGTTCGTTTTGCGCCCAGTTTCAAGTCTTCTGTTCGGTCTCACGATTCAGATTGACGGACCGTCAGCTTACTGCGAGACGTCTTTGGTGTCAAGAACGGCAGCGTTGGACCAATCACCGTTGCGCAAACGTTGTGTTTTCGGATGAATCAATGTTTACTTTGGACTGTCGCAGTGTAGGGTAGACGGAATGACGTTATATCATAAGACAGAAGAACCTATTGGGAGCGTCTCAATAATGGTGAAGAATGGGATCACTGTGAGTGAGAGGACACCTTTACATGTTATTCATGGACGTGTCACTGGGTAGTGCCACTGTCACAACATCCTGGAATCACACGTGGTGCCATTTACGCGTGAACATGGACGTCGTTTTGTGTTTCGGGATCACAATGGAAGAGCACGTATGGCTCGTGTTGTTACGAATACCTCCAACAGGAGAGCATAACCACCTTGGCCAGCACTGAGTCCAGATTTGTCACCTATCGAACATGTCTGGGATGTCCTTGGAGGGCGCGCGCGTCATCGTCAACAACCACAGCCAACATGGCGCTGCACTGCAGGAAGAATGGGATGGAATGAACTAAGTTGACATTGTACGTTTGATTTTGAGTATGCCTCGGCATTGTCTTGAGAACAGGGGCTCATTCTGGCGATTTTATTGCGCAGGTATTTTGGGCCACGCCCTAAAATTAAAAACGGTTTGCAATCAGATTGTGGAGCGTGTGATTTCAGCACTTTCACCTGGATATGTAACTACTTCTGACCAATGTTACGACTTTTTCTCTTTCGGAAATAGACTTCGTCCATCAAGGGACATGAATATTTGCAAGAAGATGGAATCAATATCTTCACTTTACTTAAAGTAAGAATAGTAAGATTTCTTTCGACAGTCTGCAAATACAGTTTAATCTACTGAATGGGCTACCTTTACACACATACTTTGCAATCCTCAAGACCTTAAGGACGACCTTGAACTTGTTACTTCATTGGTGTAAAGAAGGGTCCAGCAGCAGAATACACATTTCCGACTGGAATATTCAGAGGAGTCTTTGAGTACAGCAAAGTGAAGGTATGTTGATAGGTAAATCCAATTTCTCTATATAAGGCAATCGCGGAGTGATTCTCTGCGTATGGATACACCACCATGACGTTTCCTTCCGGGACTTCATCATAAAGCGTTCTGAAGAGTTCATATCCTACATCATCATTATCAGCGTACGTTGGACCCAGTTTCCATCCCTCATTGGCT